ACTCAACAGCTTTGGCCAGCCAGAATGGAATGGCACTGCTCTAAGTCTTGCTGGGCTCACACCTACAAATGGAAGCGTCAATCAGTAGATGGTCCGACAACATGGTTTTTTCCGGCTTCTCGATAATTGATGCCGTCCTCGCCACAACAGCGACTACAGGACTAGGAGACGAACAGCAGATGCGAGGCAGCCTAGCAGTGTGGCCAGGCATGTTGTCAACCAAGAGCCCTACGAGCGTCCAACTCCTGGTGCAGCTCAGTCAGCTCAGGAAACACGTTGGAGAAGGCCTGCGAGGGACGACGGGCCGCAGGGCTCCACAGGCCCCCATGGGCCCCCTGTCCCCCCTCTCCTTCAAGCATAGAATTCCAGTCGCCCCCCACACAATACTGAAACGCTCGGCAAAGCTCAGCTGACAGATGAACTTCACGGCGGCGGTGGTGGAGCACATACATTGTACGCATTGAGCGATTCAGATCACCCTGCGTACCTTTCATGCACGTCATGACAATTCGCCATTCGAGCTGCGGTCGGTGATCAATCACCATAAAAAGGGGAGCAAGCTTACAGCTGACGGCGGCGATTAAACCACCAGAACCAGAACTATCAGTGAAGAAGGTGTGGCCAAACGAGCGCGTGGAAATCTGATCACTGAGATGACCGATATCACCACGGTGTCCATGGCTTCATTGGGCAGCGATAATGCGTTGGGAGCGGAACAACCGTTCAAGACAACTCGTTTTGAACGTTCACTGGCACGGTTTAGCATTGTCAGGACGCAACAGTCCCATTGAATGGCGGCGCTGAAATCCAAGGAATGGTGTTCTGGCACGATGGAGGATTCTCAAACGGTTCCAGTGAAGCACTTCCCGCATTGGAAAAAAAAACGTGTGTGGACATATGAAGAGGGAACTTGGAGGGAGGATGTATCGCAGCAACATCGTGCATGCGTCGTGGATTTACACTGGTCATCCTCCTCCTCCCATCGAGTGGCGGCCGCCCAGGCTGAGCACACGCGGCCCCGAGGGGCGTCGACCGCCTGGTGTCTAAGCGGTGGCGAGCGAGGCTTTCGACGCGACCCACTCGCCATCTCGACAGCGGACAGTGTAAAGCAACACGGAGAGGTGCGGAGGGATGGCCTTCTCACGGCGGCTGTCCTCCAGACCCCCTTTGACGGGGGCCTCGAGCAGGCTGCCGAGGATCGCCCCATGGGCCCCGTGCGGAGTCCCTGTGGCGGCAATGATGACTACTGCGCAGCGTGTAGGCTGGATGTTTCGGGAGCCGACGTGCGTGGTAGACGGACCGGGGCGGGAGTGGAATCTCACCTTCAACTCGCTGGTCTGCGTATCGGGCCAGACTGCCCACGCGGCGCGGAGAGTGTCCGACGGCAGATCTCTGGCGCTTCAAGGCCGACACGACTTGAGGTCACCGATTGAGTGGAAACCCGTTCTGAAGTCTCTGTTCTGCGATTGAGAGCCATGCTGGAAGCAGCACCAGCGGTCTGCGCTTCGTGGTCCAGTAGCTGGCTCGCAGTGGACGTAGGGCAGATTGCACGATCAAGAAGCGTCAGTCTCCTTGTTGTGCCTCCTGCGCCAGGAGCAGCGTGGTTCCTTGCACCATCGATGCTACAGGTGTCCAGCTCACTCCCAGAGTTGGCTAAGGCTGCGCAGGTGGTTGAGTCGGCGCCACCCTCCTGGGGAGAACGTTTCGCCAGAGGTATGTTTGCAGAGCCAAGCTTGTCTGTGCGCAGATCCCCCTTCGACACCCTTCTGGCTCACCGAGGGACGGGTGTTGAGCTCCCAACCGGCCTGGCGGGAGGCGGTGTGTGTTACCGAGGGCCTCACAAGTGTCCCCTCGAATGGGCGGCCCCACCCCGTTTTCCTTTCTCTCCGCCCTTGACCTTTCCCTCTATGGGCAATGAACCTCCTGCTCCTTCTCCTCCTACTGTTGCCCCCTTCCACCCATCTCGCCCTGCCTCCTCGTGCATACCCTTGCCTCTGAAGACATCCTCATATTTTCCTCTATGTCTGATTTTCCGTCATGTTCCTCCACTGTTTTCTCCAACGTCGTCCTCCCCCTTCTAAAGGTAGCGGTAGAGTAGGGCTGGGGGTCAGGTCTGCAGAACACCCCAAACGAACTTCAAGGGGCGCAACAACCCTGTTCGGTCAAGCTGCAATTGATGCACCACACCAGGCGTCAAGCCAAAACTTTGGACAGAAGCAAACGGCTGGACTTTGCACATCTTCGTCGGATTAACCGGCGAGGCGATTGACCACCCTGACGTCAATTTTTTGATGGTCCTGCAGAGGAAGGCGCTCTCTGACCCTCGGCCCTTCTCAAGGTAGCGGCAGCCCCCGTCCTTGCTACACTGAATGCTTCTACACTTACCTGATCGAGGCAACTCGCTTGGGCATCGTCTCTGCAACTACCTCCTCGTGCCCTTTCTTGCTTCCCCCTGCCCCCACTCCTCCGTCCACGCATCCCCCATATCCCCTCCTGATGCATCGTGCCCGTCTCCTCTTCTCCCTCCTCCAATCTCCTCCTGCCTCGTCCTGCCATTGTTACCTCCTCCTCCTGCCTGCTCCTGCCTCCTCATGCTTCCTCCTACCTCCTCCTACCTCCTTCTACTCCCCTTCCTCCTACCTCTTCCTACCTCCTCCTACCTCTTCCTCCTACCTCTTCCCTTCCTCTACCTCCCCTTGCCTCCTCCCCCATTCCTCCTGCACCCTCGCTTGCCATGGGCGCACGGCGCACACAAGCGACCTGCGCGGATCAGCAGTGCGCCTGCTGCCTCCGCCTGGCTCCTCGCACCTCATCCTACAATCGGGGCCTTGACCTAAGGAACCCAAAATAAGGAACGAGGCCCCTTTTTGTCCATACGTTAGACTTCGACTTCCGATCGAAAACATAAGGAAAACCTGAGGCAAGCTGCGAAGCACTTAAGGAACGCGGAGCCCCTCCCCAACGAAAAGGGTTCCTTGATCAGCGCCCCGACTGTACCTCCCTCAAGCTGCTCCTCCCTCTTTCCGACCTCCTCATACTCTAGCACGTGTCCCATATCTCCCGCCCGTCTTCCTCGTGATCCTCTCTGCCTTGTCCGCATGTTCCTCTTCAACCTCATCCCTTTTCTTTCCTCCTCATCCTCCTCCTCCTTCTCCTCCTCCTCCCCCTCCTACTCCCCCTCCTTCTCCGCCTCATCCTCTTCTCCTTCGAACAATCCGCCAAGGCGGTTGCGGATCACTGCTGGGCCGGATGCTACTACACATTCCTGATCAGGGCAACACGCCTGGTGACTGCTTTTGGGTGGGCTCCTGTGGACACGAGAAGCGTCGAGGTTGCGGTGTTGTTCCTTCCGTGGCTGTAAAAAGTGTTGCGTTCGTGCCTGCTTCTGGGCTTCCAACACTCCAGGACGACCCAAGAAGCCACCAAGATCATCCCCATGATGAGCCAAGAGGCCGCCGAGAAGGCCACAGGAGAAGCCCAAGAAGCAGAATACGAACAGACATTTCGAGCCCTCTGCTCCAAGACGACCCCCGAGACCGAAAAAATACAAAGAGGCCCCCGGAGAGGCCCCCAAGAGGCCCCCAGAGAGGCCCCAAAGAGGCCCCAAGAGTGTTTCACAAAGGTTCCTGAGCCCAAGAAGCCCCCGAGAAAGGCCCCCCGAGCCCTCCAAGAGTCTCTCGGGAAGCATCCAAAGACCCCCCAGTGTGCATCCACGGGACCTTTGACCACAACCAAGGCACGGTGGCGAGATGGGCCTGCCCGTTTCTCCTGCTCATGCTCCTCAGCTCCTCCTGAGGATGCATGGGCGGAAGACTCCACGAGGCCCCCAAAGCGTCTCCCTCTCCTCCTCGTCCGACCTGCTTCGCCACCCTCTCCTCATCCTCTCCCTCTTTCTCCCCCGAGGGCCCCCCGAAGGGCTTCCTCAGCGGCTGAGAGAACAGCTGCTCCTCCTCAGAGCAAGCTTCACATTAACAGTTCAGGAAACTGCCACCGCCCGACGAGTGCCGAATCGCTACGGCCACGCAACACATGGCAACGATGAGCCTTTACGGGTCGGCGGAGTGAGCGAAGCGATTGAGTAAGATGTGATGTGTAGTTCAGCAGCTGCGCCAGAGCTAGGCTGAAGCTGAGACAAGATTCATCAACTACGACCCTGAAGCTAAAATAGAATATCATTCCAAGCTCAGGTCCAGCTCACACGCAATGGCTGAAGATGGGACGCACCTGCTCGAACGTAACATTGAGCAGTGCCCACATATGTGGCATGTCTCAAGAATATGACCGAGGAGAAGCATGAATCATCGGAGCCACCAACATGGTTCTGGACGCCCATCGGCCTCTCGGGGCCAAAGGTACGATAGAGTATCACGACGAAGCCCTGCGCCAAGGGCCATCAGCAGAAGAAGAAACACCAGCCTCAACAGGAACAGACGCTGCACCCCCCTCCCCGGAGTGCGGAGAGCGCCAGGGGCAGCGCCGAAGGCGCCGCCACGGGGCCCAACGCCGGCCCGGGAAGTCCGAGGCGGGAATGTACCCATGTTCACTACCTGGGGAATCGACGTCCTGGGAACCCCAGGTGGGAGTGCTTTTCCTCCTCCTCCTCCTCCTCCTCCTCCTCCTCCTCCTCCTCCTCCTCCTCCCTCCTCCTCCTCCTCCTCCTCCTCCTCATCCTCCTCCTCCGCCTCCTCCTCTTATCTCCTCCTCCTCCTCCGCTTCCCCTCCTCCTCCTCCTCCTCCTCCTCCTCCTCCTCCTCCTCCTCCTCCTTCTCCTCCTCCTCTCTCTCCTACTCCTCCTCCCCCTCCTCCTCCTATATACACATATCCATGTCCGTATGCACCATCTGCCGAGATCCCCGAAGGGGAATACCCCGGGCGGTCGTCGTGGGCGAGTCTCCGGCTCGGGTTTTTTCTCTTCCTTCTTCGCGTCAAGACGGGGATCAGCAAGAGAAAGAAGAGAACTCACGCACCACGGCATCTATCTCGGAGGAGCTGGCGGGGGCCTCTCGGCCGCTCGACGCCGCGCTGTCCGCCGCCAGGCTGGCCTTCGTCTCATGCTGCAGCCCGGCCACATACATCGGGCACCCAGAGAGCAGCATCAGCAGCTGAGGCGCCCACATGACCCATGGCCTCTGGGGGGAGAGGAAGAGGACGTGGGTCGAGATCGTCAAAAGCTTAAGCAAACGCTCTTGCATTGCACATCTTCTCCGCAGCCAGTTGCTGGCCCAAGGAGGCTGAGCAAGCGAGCTCCATAGCTGGGGGAGGCGAGTCCCACGCCGCAGCCAGTCGCCTCACTCTTGTCACGATGGCTTGAAAAAACGAGCCTTTTCGCGGTGCGGTTGATGACAGCATTGTCATCAGCGCGAGGTGGGAATACATTCATAACCACTGCCTGTGGGATCGATCTTCGCGGACCTCGGTAGGCGGTGGATATGGTTACAGATGCCCCCTACCCAGCGCCCAAGCATGTCCATATCCACCGCCTACCGAAACCGATCCTCCAGGCGGTGGTTATGGATAGATCCCCGCCTCGGACCCCCCCCCCCAAAAAAAAAAAAACAAAAAAAAAAAAACAAAAAAAAACATGAACATGAGAAGAGCTGGTCCTGAGGAGAACCGATCCTGGACCCAGGCCTTCCACCAGGACCGACTGGTCTTTTCGGGGGGAACGAAGAGGGGGGCATAGCATAGGGTAGGGTTAAGTCGGGCGTGTCCGCCTACAGGGGGATTTTGGGCGAAAAATGAAAATACTCGAAAAATGCTCCAACATACAAAAATGGTCGAAAATCGTCCCCATACTATTTTTTGACTATTTTTGAATACTCCCTCTGTAGAGGGACAGGCCCGACTTAAGGGTAGGGTAGAGAATCAGCTCACGTAGCTGATTTTCCCGGCGCCTCCCAGCGCCAGAGGCGCCAATGTATCGGGGCATAGGCCCGGCGGCGGGGCGGAAACCAGCTGCATGAAGCAGATTTCGTAACCTCCCCTTTCCCTATCCCCCCCTTTCGTTCGGCCCGACCTCTCATCCTGTTACATATTCTGACGATCCCGGAGCCCGAAGTAGACCCCGGGAGCCCGACAACTGCCAAAAACCTGCGGAAGCGTTCCCCTGAGCATATGTCTGCAACACGGCGAGGACTGGGGCCGGGCCCAGTGCGAAAGCAGATGGAGCTGGCAGCGCAGGCACTTTGTTGGTCGCGGACCTGGCGCTCGCGCAGGTCGGCCGGGCAGCACAGGGCCACTGCACAGCAGATGAACAGCACAGGGTACGATACGACACGACCACCGCTGCGGACGCCGTCTGGGCCGAGCTGAGACCAGGTGGGCGAGGCCATGGCCTCAGGAATCTGGTGCGTCTGAACGACATGCAATGCGAGATGCTTGAAATGTGAATGGAGGAGGGAGGGGGGAGAGGTCCTTGGAGTCGGTGTCAGGGGAGAGGTCCTGCACGGGAGGGGATTGGAAAAGGGGAGGAGGCAGGGCGGCAGCGGAGGAGGGAGGGGGAAGGCAGCTTCCTCAAACCATGAAGGTCTTGCGGAGGCGAGCTGTGGCCCAGGCTCTGACGGAGCAGAGCAGGTTGAACAGGCACAGCAGAAGCTGGGGGCAATCCGAGCAAGCTAAGACTGATCAATGCCGTGTGCAGCACCAGGAGGCGAAATTCAGAGCACTGACCAGGCACTGGAATTGCGGGGCCTGGAACATCAGGGCGAGCGCCAGGAGATATGATCCACCGAGTGAGCGCGCGAGTAAGTCCAAAGGATGCGGCGAAGGCAGACATTGGAGAAAACGTGGTGGGCAGTCTTGTCTGGCCCCGCAACCCCTCACTGGCGCGCGGCACGAAGCTACCATGAGGAAGGTTAAAATGAGGAACGAATCCCCATGTTGGCCCCACACGTGCACGAGGAGCGTTACAAGAACAACCATGGATCCCCTTCCGATCCCCTTACGATCCCCGACGGGTTCCTTTTTTGAGCGCATTGACCGTAGAGGGACAAAATCGGCATAAAGCATAAACATAAACTTTCGGAGGTCCTGGTACATTTACACCCCCCTTTGGCGCGCGGCGAGCGCCAGGCGCGGCGCCGGAGGCGCCGCCAGGGGGGTCCGAGCGCAGATCCAAGAAATCCGCGCGGAACTCCGAAAACTCAGGCGTCTGCAATTCTTCTTGTGATTGTTCTTCTTCGGGACTGTGCACCTCGACCCGGCCCAGTACCGCGAGCCGTGCGGACCCGCAGCTCGCCGCGAGGCCCGGCGGGCCGGGGTCCACCTCGCGCCCGGCCCCCCCGTTTTGGACTCGGCCCCTCTGAGCTCGACGGGAGCCCGCCCAGCCAGCCCGCGCAAGACGACAGCGGGCCAGAGCGCCGCATGTCTGAAGGGGCCCCAGGACACACAAATAGAAATATTCCCTATATTTTCGTATGTTTTCGGGGTTTTGTCTTCCCCCCCACTTCCCATATGTTTGCACATTTTCCTGAGAATCGGCGATTAATTGTGTCTGTGTGTTTTTTCCCCTCCTGAGTGTCCTGCCAGTCGAGGCGTGTCCACAAAAACACGGATCAAGAGCACGAGCCAAGCCGTCAGAGGCCCCGCCAGCACGGCACGCGGCGCGCAAGAAGAGGCGATTACGCGCGACGCGCGAATGTCTGCGCAGTCGACTCAGTCTCCGACGTCGTCCAAATCACTCCTCCTTCCTTCTCTCCCTCCTCCTCCTCATCCTCCTCCTCATCCTCCTCCTCCTCATCCTCCTCTTCTCCTCCTCCTCCTCCCCCTTTTCCTCCTCCTCCTCCTCCTCCTCCTCCTTTTCCTCCTCCTCCTGCTCCTCCTCCTCCTCCTCATCCTCCTCCTCGCGCCATTGGAAGTGTCATCAGGACGGGCCAGGCATTTTGCCTGAGTTCTCCTCACCATGTATGCGACTTGAGCCTGGAACTTCCAAGAATGGCACACATGTAGGGCGGGTCAAGAGGCGCGGCCCAGCCAAAGGACGCGTCTAGTGGCGTGACAGGGCGGGTCGTTTTCAAGTGCAGCTGCCGATTTCAACGCCGCGCACATTCGTCCTAAAAAGGTATCACAATATACGCGCATGGATGGCGGGTAGTCTTCAAAATGAGGCTCTCGTCATCTTTGACGCCACGCACATTCAATTTGAACCGTTCCAGCATGTACGCACATGTGGTGGATCATGTTCAAATTCAAACACTCGCTTTCAACGCCGTGCACAGTATGCCTGTTCAAATTCCACCATGTTCCAACACATACACAGATGACGGGGTCTCTTGTCAAAACGGACATGCTGCTTGATACGCCCTCAGTGAAGGCTGTCGCTCGCGACGTCCCTGTTCCCACAAACTCATTCGGCGGATGGGGACCGATTCGTTGTCACGACGAAACCTACCCAGTGACATGTTATGCCACTGTATGACACCACCGCTTGGTTTCGTGGGTTCAATATGGATGAAATTAAATTCTGTGTTTTCTGTGTTCACAGCGGGATGGCCGCCTGAATGGAAGACCCATGGGGTATTCGTCTTTCCGCAGGGCCTTTCGGTATCGAACAGACCTTACAGCAGAGACCCACGAAAGCGGGACTTGCGGAGTGCTGATGTATTGCATCATCGATGACGCAGCCTGGATTCACGGGTGTCCCCCCCTCCTCCTCTTCCTTCTCCTTCTCGTCCTTCTCCTCCTCCTCCTCCCCCTTCTTCCTGAGTCCAACGGCCCTGAAAAGAGTCTGAGGTGTCCATGCATGCAACGTCGGCGCAGGGCGTGGCAGCAGGGACGGGGTGGGTCAGAGAAAAGCCGCAGCAGCCAGCATCAGTGCTCGCAGTGAGGGCCAGCAGGGGCAAACAGGTAGGCACCGTTTCCCTCAATACCTGTACCAATACTCCTCCTGAGCATCCTCTTCCTCATCCTCCTCTTCCTACTCCGCCTCCTCCTCTTCCTGCTCCTCCTCCTTTTCATCCTTCTCCTCCTCCTCCTCCTCCTCCTCCTCC